AACAAACAAATCTGTCTTGGAAGAAGTACAGCCAGAATGCTCCTTAGAAGCAAGGATGGCGAGACTACGTCTCATATACTTTGGACATGTTATCAGGAAGGACCGTTCCCTGGAGAAGGACATCATGCTTGGTAAAGCAGAGGGTCAGCGAAACAGAGGAAGACGTTCAATGAGATGGATTGACACAGTGGCTGCAACACTGAGCTCAAATATAGTGATGACCGTGAGGATGGTGCAGGACCTGGCAGTGTTTCGTTTTGTTGAACATGGTGTTGCTATGAGTCAAAACCACCTCGATGGCACCTAACAACTACAACAACAATGTTTACAAAAGCAGACTGCCACATCTTTCTCCTGCGGAGCAGCTGGTGGGTTGGAACTGCCAATCTTACGGTTAGCAGACGAGCACGCTTAACCCCTGTGACACCAGGGCTCCGCAATAGGAAGGTCCCATTTATAAGAGGATCCCTCCCTCCCTAGCTGTGTGCACTTGGATTCCTGGCCCCGATACATACGTTCTGAAGGATCATCACTCTTTTGGCCTCTGACTCTGCCTCACCCCACAGCTGGGTGCTGTTCTCCTGGCTGACCTCCTTGCATGCCAGGGCTGAGCAGGGCTGGGCAGTGAAGGCCCCACCAATGGAGGCTCAGAGGTGTCCCAGGCCTGGGGCAGGCTGTTGATGACAGCAGCTGCTGGCTCAGAGCCATAGTTCTCTTGGGATCCTGAGGGTAACAGAGGGGCCTGGGAGGCTCTCATCGTGGGAAGATGTAGTTCCTCATAAGAAGGGAGAAAGGAGGTACATGCTGTGCAGGGCCCTCCTCTGTCACTGGCTCTGTCACCAGGAAAGTGACTGTGACAACAGGAACCTGACCCATCTCAGTCACAGGGTGAAGCCAGCAGGAGTGGTGATGGGAGGGGCTTCCATGAGGTCTAGTCACCTGGTGACAAATTGAACAACCTTATAAGCTGCTCCTCTGTCTCACAATCACTTTTTATCAGTGGTTTGGGCGTTGTGGAGAAAGAGGTTAAGATGAGACTTTCAAAGATTTAGGATGCCAAGAATAAAAGGTGTTCTGTATCTAAAATACAAGCCTAATTGAGAAATCTTTTAAATAGAGATGTAGCATTAGCAAAACATCAGTGACCTAAAATTATATTAAAAAACAAATAGATCCTTATATATAATATGAGCTATAATCTACAGGGTAGGTGTGAAGAAGAAATTGAACTTGTCAATTATTTCATTCTACTTGTATCAACAATCATGTCCATGGAAACAGCAGTCAAGAAATCAAATAATGTATTGTTTGGGCAAATCTGTTGCAAAGGATCTTTTTAAAGTGTTAAAAAGCAACGATGTCACTTGGAGGATGAAGGTGCACCTGACTCAAGCCATGGTATTTTCAATCACCTCATATGCATGTGAAAGCTGGACAATGAATAAAGAAGACCAAAGAAGAATTGATGCCTTTGAATTATGGTGTTGCTGAAGAATATTGAATATACCATGGACTACAGAAGAATGAACAAATTTGTCTTGGAAGAAGTACAACCAGAAAGCTCCTCAGGAGTGAGGATGGCGAGACTTTGACTCACTTACTGCGGACATGTCATCAGGAATGACCAATCGCTAGAAAAGGACATCACTGGTAAAGTAGAAGGTCAGTGAAAATGAGGGAAATCCTCAGTGAGATGGATGGACACAGTAACCACAACAATGGACTCCAACCAACATACCAACATACCAACAATCACGAAGATGGTGGAGTGGGCCTAGCCCACTGGTTTCAGAGAACAAAGACTCTTCGTTAGTGTTGTCCGACTCATTCTCTATCTATTTTTATAGTAAAGACGGAAATTTCATTAACTCATAAAAATCGGAGGGAAGGTGTCCATTGCCACACAATACTGGGGACAGATGTTTAATTTTAAGGCACGCGTACATGTATTGTGTTTTCCAACAAAGTGGAAGCTAGATACTCCTAACAACCATTGACCAATTAGTGGTGTCCCCCTCCCACTTCAACACACACACTAATGGCTGGGTTTGGTGTCATAGAGCCCTGAGATTTAACTGCCATTATCTGCCTGGGCTAACCTCAAATCCTATTGTGACATGTGCCACCAAGGGTGGACATTCTTTGAGGTTACAGTAGGCTTTGGATGAAGACTTTACATTATGCCCTGGCCACCCTCCCAACTTCAGCTTCACTTCCAACAGGATGTGTGAAGACATGGAGGTTAGAGTTGTCTTGGCTCCACCACTCACTGCCTTTATGAAGGTGGGGAAACCATCTTACCTTGAATCTGAGCCTTGTTTATTTATCTGAAAAATAAGAGTACATGTATATATGTACCTGTACATACATGTATATACATACCTGTTGTTGGGTGTTGCCACCGACACATATATATATATATATATACACACACACACATATATATATATGTATGTATATCAGTTGCCAGCACCTCTGTGTGGACTCAAACTGCCAATCTTTCAGTCAGCACGCCAAGTGTGTTAACCATTTGCACCATCCAGGGACTCATATGTATTTATGTGTACATATATCTCATATATCTCTATATCTTATATAGAATAAGTTGAATAACGTAAGCAAAGTTCCCCTCTCGTCACACTGATTGCTTGGCACGGGGTTCATGCTCCATCAGTGAGCTAAGTCAGGTGACTAATAAAGAACCCAGCGTAGGGCTGGCTTACAGTAGCCACTCAACAAAATTTAAGACAGCAAACCCAATAATGATAAACCACTTACATTGATGAGAATACTTTCTAGATGACACAAAAAACAGAGAACCAACCCCATTGCCATCTTGGGACTCATAGTGACCCTGTAGGTCGGCTGGTGGATTTGAACTGCCTACCTTTTTGTTAGCAGCTGACCTCTTAACCACTGTGCTACCAGAGCTCCTAGTTGACACAGTGCTTGCAAATACATCCTTTAGTTTCATCCTTGCCACTTCCCTGTAGGGCAGGTGAGGCGGGGATGCAGGACCCATTTCTCTACTGACAAAGCACAAGGTCACATAGCAGCCACAGGGAGCCAGGCTGCACTCTGACAGTCCCTCCCAGACCAGCACTGGCCGGTGGAGTGAGCCTGCTTGGCACCGCCCTGCCCTGGGAGCACCACGCCCTTTGCATTTGCACCTCGGGCCTCTGCTGACCTTCCCACCTCCTGGATTTTCCCGTGTGCTGCCCACCCTCTGCTTTGCTCCACTGTCCCCTCTGTTGGGAATGTCCCCATCTCATTCTGTGAATATGCTCCCCAGCCTCCAAATCTCCATCTCCACCGCCTCCTGCATCACCCCTCCCAGACACCCCAGGTAGAAGTGACGTCTTCTTTTCCTAAGCCACGATAGTTCTGAGCTATGAGAGTCTCAGAAGGAAATACAGGATGATTTTGGAGTAGGGGAGACCAAGCACTAAAACAAAGGAAGAAGTGATGAAGTCAGACATTTAAAAATGTAAACTACTTGTATGTGAGTATTAAAAAGGTGTTTGTTTGAGGGTACATGCTTGAGCACCATTCCTACCTTCTGATCTGGTGAGAAATGACCTAATAAATTTAAGAATAGGGGAAAATCTACATTATCAGGTGGAGAGCTAACAAGGAGACTGCTTAAAATGTCAGGGAAACCAAGAAATGGGCGCTAAACGCAGTGTAGATGGAGCCAGATTAAAGGGCGCCAGGTGTGAGCACACCCCGCCTCTCCTTGCAGTGGTCAGAGCTCAGTGGAGCGAGTGGAGGACTCTGCGCTCCACAGGCTCTGCTTCCCCTGCTGGGAGCGGGGAGGACGGAAGGCAGGAGAGCTTGCCATCTCAAGGCGGGTCCCTGGGGTGCTGTGGTTGTAGGGGCAGTGGGTGAGGGTAGAAATGAGAAGGCATGTGCACAGCAGCTCTGGGTTCAACCTGGATGCAGGGCGAGAACAGCTGGACCAAGGAGGAGGCTGCATTCCTGCACCAGGAAGACTGCAGTCACGCTCGACCAATGCTCCACCAAGTGATGTGGCCACAATGGGTATGCGTGTGCAGGATGAGGCTCCTCCTCCAACTCTGAGACTCTCAGCTAAGGGCCCAGGAGAAAGCTATCCACAGCTGCTGGACAAAACCATGCATTTTATTTCTGGCCAAAAAATAACAGAAGAGTTGGGGGGAAGGTCCCCAACTGGCCCAAACTTTGTCCACGTGTGCAAACAACGGGAAGATCACCTGGATGTGTGAGCATTTGGAGAGCAGGTCAGCCACTGCCCTTCCAAGTATTCACTAACAGAAAAGGCCCGGCCACGTGTGATGCTGAGGAGAAAGTCGCCGTTCATATGACAAAGGAAAATGAGCCCTAACCAAAGAGAAGAATTTTCTCCCCATTATTTGAAGATGATACGATTATCTCCCCAGAGACACCTGAAAAACTACTGGAACAGATACGAGTTGAGGAGGTGGCTGGTGACAAAACAAAAGTCTAAGAATCCATAATTTTTCTGTATGTTCTGTGTGTTAGCAAATTCGAGTTGGAAAAGACCATCGTGCCTCAGCTCTGAGACATATATGTTTTGTTCACTTACTTGTTTTCCTGAAATGGAGATATTTTTGTAATTGTTATGTCCACTAAATACACTAGATTTTTTTTTCCCCCTGGGAAAAATAACTTTAAGTTAATGGGACATCTTCTAATCAAAAGTGTCTTTGAATCAATGAAATGCAGCACAACTGAAAAAAAGGCATTTCATTTGCAATAGCAACAGAATTATCAAGTATAGAGCGCCACGAGTAGTGAGAAATGTGGGAATCATGGTGAAGATGGCTTCAGAATGGACCCTGAGGAAGGGGAGAGGCAGCCTATACTCCAGGATGGGAAGATTACATATTCAAATAGACCACTTCAGCACTCTAATGCACTCTAATGGGGGCACTCTAATGCCTTGCAGATGAAAATCCAATTAAAATTCCAGAAGTCTATTTTGGGAAACAAAATGATGTTAAGTTCATTTGGAAGAACGTGCAAGAATAATTAAGAGTTCTCTGTAAAATAATAATGTTGAACGACCCAGATTACCAAATACCAAAACACCTTAAAACCATCATAATGGAAATAGCATGATATTAGTGTTAACGGAAATAGAATAATAACAGAGAATAGATAGTTCAGAAACGGACTCAAGATATTTAGGTATTCAATACATGAAAAAGGAGAATTAAGTCAGTGTGGAAAAAATGGATTGTGCAATAAATGTTATTGGCGTAAGTGGTTAAATTTTTTGAAAAAAAAATCAAAGTTGAATTCTTACCTCACAATAAAATAAATTCCAGATGGCTTCAGAAGATAAGGGTAAAGCAAATGAAATGGTAAAGGAATTTAAGGGAAATATTGGTGAATATTTTTACATTTTGGGGGTGAAAAAATCTTTCCTAAGCATAACACCTAAGTTAGAAAACAGAGTGCAAAAGTTCTATGACTCTGTATAAAAATGTGAAACACACACGTGTAAAGGGAAAAGACAAATGAAGCACTGACATCACTATTTCCAACAGGAGACAGGATTTGTATTTTTAATAATAGCCAGCCCTTACCCTCTGCCCACACCTATTATCAATACTTTGTATGAAGCCACTTACTTAATCCCCCATCTGTCAGTGTGTCTTACTGTGGGAGCTTGAGTGTTGCTACAATGCTGGAAACTAGGCCATGAGTATTTCAAATACCAG